GGATCTTTCTCAAATGAAAATTCTAAAAATCCTGTATTATCCTGCTTTTACCAACAAGAAAATTGTGATTTTTCTTGGTGTTAAGTAATTGAGATTTTTTTTGGAAGGGGAGAATGGGGAGTTATTTGCAATGAAAGGCAAGTTTTGGGGGTAGTGACAATGGTTACACAACATCGCTAATGTAACTATTAATGCCAAGGGACTGAATGCTTAAACCTGATTAAAAGGGCAAATTTTATATTTTATCACAAAATTTAAAAAAAAGTTAGGTCAGCCAATGACCTACAGTCTCATCTTACGTGGTATGCCACTTACATCTCAGCAAAGCTTTTAAAAAAAGCATATGGGAAAAAGAAGCATATGGGTCCCATGCATTTTTTTAAAGTTTTTATTTGATTTCTGAGAGAGACAGAGCGTGATCAGGGGAGGGTCAGAGAGGGAGACACAGAATCTGAAGTAGGCTCCAGGCTCTGAGCTGTCAGCACAGAGCCCGACGTGGGGCTCGAACCCACAAACCGTGAGATCATGACCTGAGCCGAAGTCGGACACTTAACTGACTGAGCCACCCCTGCATTTTTAAAAACAGCGTTATTGTAATCTAAGTGGCACAAATGTAAGGTGCACACGATTTGATATCTGACCTGTATTGTGCAATAAAAACCACAAAAAGGTTAACATATCCATCATCTTACAGACTGTAGTGTGTGTGTGTGTGTGTGTGTGTGTGTGTGTGTGTGTGTGTGTGTGGTGAGAACACTGAAATCTACTTTCTCAGCGAGTTTCGAGTATGTAATACGGTATTAACTATGGTCACCATTGGCACCTTGCACTCCCAGAACTTCTCTGCCTTACAGAGGTTTGTACCCCACTGCCCCCACCCACTTGCCTCTGACGATCACCAACCTGTGGTTCTTCTATGATGAACCCGTTTTCTTAACATGAATGTTTGCATGTTGATGGTCTTCTGTAACCCAATCAAATAAGGGTGGCAACTTCAGGTTTCTGGCAGAGGCCCAGATTTTATCAAATCATAGTCATTTAGAGATTCTTGGGTCTTTTATCCGGTCCAGTTTAAGTTGGTCTTGAACAAGCAAGCCCATGATGCATTTTGGTGCACTCGCAATGTAAATTAGCTGCTGCTTCAGAAGGCTTTGACATTATCGGACCGGATGCCACATGGCTCAGGGTTTTAAGTATCCTGTGTCTTACAATATCAATAGATTAAACCACTATCTGTAGTCTAGCTGATCCTATTCCTTAAGACCCTGAGGCCTGTTTTTGCTCAAGAATCGGGTCATATTTTAACGGGACAGAATGAGGTCCAGTGATAAAGGCAAGATTTAACTTGATGACCTCAGAGGTTGGACTAGACCAGGTACCAGGCACAGTTAATACTGTTAAGATGGTCACATTGGTCTACAGTTTGTCTTCTCAAAGTCAGATGGGATGAAAGTTACCCTTTACACAAGCTCTTCCTCTTTCTACAACAATAAATGTAAAGATCCGCTGAACCAAAAGACTCTGTAGGTGGGAGACTGAAGGGAGACTAGCAGTTACCATAAAAGCCAAAGTTGTCACATGAGTAGGAAGACTAAACCGTGCTGCTCTCAGTGGGCACAAATGAAGGATAAAGAGACTTTCACTTAAGGAACATCTTTATTTGGTCTTTAATATACAATATTACCTTTAACTTATAAAAATTACATAGGGAGGACATGACTGGAAATCAGTTCAAGAGTGGCCACTGGGTACCGATGTAGGGGGTTACACTTACCCCGCTCACTAGCTGAGGGGCAAGTTTTTTCAGTGAGTTTGAGACCAGTGAGACTGAGGAATGGCATTTCAATGTCCAAATCTAGTAATTAAAACCGGGGATGCCTTATTTAGTTATCACAACAAAAACAAATTTGTTTTCTAAGAAACCATTTTTCCGAAGAGCAAGCTGAGTGTATCTCTAATGGAGTTTTCTGGTAAAAATCTGCAGATTTCTGTAGCGTCCAATAGCTGCAAGGCATTTGCTGACTGTTTAAAATCCTCTGTGCATTCACATGTATGTATGTGGGTTCACGCGTCTGTGTGCATCCCCACACTTAATGTCCACACCGAACCAAAGCCATCTGGTACGTCAGACCTAGAAGGGCAGCTCATTTACAGGCTTTCCCTCTAGAATATCCAAAACTAATCGCTTCTCGGCCTTTTGGCTAAGATCAAGTGTAGTAGAATTTCCAAAACTAGTAAAATACCTATTTGGTAAGTTTCTTCGTGAAAAATCTCTCTCTCACGGTGACTGGTGCGTGGCAACGAGTAAACTAGTAATATGGTGTCATGTAACCTTAAGTCATTTCATGAGTGCTGCTGGGCCCAAGCAAAGTTTAGGAGATGGGCTGTTACCCACTGGAAATGTAAGGCTGAACTTGAGGGACACTTTAACTTGGATGGGATGCATACTGACACTCTGAAATAATGGTACTAACTTGTAAAGGACTGGAGGCAAGGTAGGCGGTAAGAGACCAGGGAACTCTCCTTTCGGATAGATCTTTTCTCTACACTCCTCAGAGTTAGGCTGTTCCAGAGGGAACAGAAGTGGTACCATTCTGCAGTCTAAAAAAGGAATAGTGGCCCTGCCAAATGAGGCCCATAACCCATTTTCTGTTGCTTAAAATTTTTCAAAAGATTGGTTTTTGCAGCACAAAGGTCAGATGCTAGCTTATTCTCCTTGGAGGGACCTAACAGTACTCAAGGGGAGGAGTTATTCCAGCTCCAACAATCCAGAGTCCTGGTCCAAAGGCCAATGAAGAGGCAGAACTTGGGAGAGAAAAGACTATTGTGAACCCATAGAGACCCTCCTTTTTACATGGGGAGTCTGGACTTGTGGCATTAAATGACAAGGCGAGGCAAGGTGGCCTGCCTCCAAAACAAACAAAATTGCCTTTCATTATAGTCCTATTTTATCAGGACCTGAACAGAGTCCAGAAGAGTGTGTCTATTTTCAAGACTGCAAACATATAGCATTAAGTTTACACATATTCATACAATCGTATGGACACACACCTTTCTGATTTAAAAACGAATTACGTACCCAAACACAGAGAAAAGACACAGATCAATTACAGGGTCTTACAGAAATTAAACTTGGGATCAAGGGTTAACATCTATGATCCGTGGGCCAAACCCAGGTCTCCTTGCTTCTGTCAATCAAGTCCGACTGGCACGCAGCTCTCTCCTTCATTCACATAACGTCTACACTAACTTTCTGATGTTCCACTGGTAGAGCTGAGTAGTAGAGAGAGACTGAATGGTGCAGAAAGCCTAAAATATTCACCTGGCCCCTTACAGAAAAGCTTGCTGACCTGTTATAGATCAAAGAACATTTCCATCATGAGCTGAATGAGCTGAAGGAACAGGAAATCATCTTCACCTGTGTTCTTGAACCAGAATAAGAACATTAAAATATCTCCAGATCATATTTGGTGATTCAACCATTCTGTTTAGAGTTTGGGTAGCCAAAACTTATTAACAACTGTGTTTGTTAGTGTTTGTCAACAAACACAGACAATGTTAAAAATCTGTGCACAACTGTATTTATATATATATGAGTGGGTAAGATATGTGTTAGCCAATTTGAAGGTAAGGAGACCTGAAGAAAAATAAGAATTCAAAATACAATTACTAGAAACTATTATTTGGAACTTAGAAATATTTTAGTATATATTTTCTTTATATTTAACAGCATGGGACCATCAGTAGGACCCTTGGCAGAGCAAAAACAATTTACAACTGCAAATTTTACCCATGATGAAATTTACGTGAATATAAAATAACCAGCATTTCTAGAAAACATTACTTTGTAATTATATAATTAATTAAGGTGCTATAGCAAAATAAGAATGTTTTCATTCACTTTGAAAGTAAATATTTTAGTCAAAGTTGCATCAGAAACCAAGGTACTTCTTTAACGTTTTCCAAGAGGCTTTAGGTGTTAATTACAATTATAGCTATTAGTATTATATAGTAGCACATTGCTTAAAATATATTATAAACCATTTCTTTTCCTCTTTAATTTAAATGACATATAAAATTAAGGATTCTGTAACATGAATCATACTGGAACACATTTAAAATGGTATGCACGCCACCGGAATCACAAAACGTCTGATGCTCGCGTGCCTGGCGTAACGCTGGGCACGCGTTAGGTGCTCCATGCTTGTCCACTCATTCTCTCATTCACTCATGCACTCATTCATGGAAATCCAGGCTTCCGGAGAAACTGCATAATGTGCAAGCACAATCTTTTATCAACAGATCTGTGGCTCTGACAAAGACTTTGGCAATGGAGAGTGGAGAGGAGAAGCTGATGGTCCTGATTCCAAACTGCCTGGTTACAATCTACTGAGCGAAGCCCCGGGGTGCCTCAGATGCCATCACAGAGAATGAGGGGGAACAGTCCGCAAAAGGAACACATTCCTCCGAGAGCCGGGTCTGATACATACACACATCTGCTCAAAGACGGGAGTATGTTGGTGTCAGACACAGAACCGAAAGAAAGGACCCTCTCTGGCTGGGGTCTTGCTTTTCTGAGACTCCTCGGTTAGGGCCACGTTCGCTCGGTTTGATCAACTTTACACCAGTTTCAACAGGAAAAGTGTGATCCTAAAATTCTGTAAGAGAAGTGTGGAAGGCAGAGGGGTGTTCGTGTTTCTTCTCTTTCATGGGCCGACTGATCTACCTACTCAGCACACCGACGCCAAAGGCACAGAGGGAGGTGTGGGCTCTCCGCAGAGGCATCCAGAAAGGAGCACCTCTAGGCTCTCTGCAGAGAGTCTCAGACGTGTAATGAGTTATTTTAACCTGAGGAATAAGGTCTACAAAACTCAAAGGACCGTAAGGGACAGAAGAAAAGTCAATACTCTTGGAAACTAAGCAGAACACAGGAAAAGGGCTGATTATGGAGGAACGAACTATAAAAACCTGTAATAAAAACAAAACAGGACACTGGCAAGTCATTTGTAGCTGACTTTTAATTGCCTTTGGTATCCAGGGCAGAAAACAATGGAAGCGGTGGGACAAGCTCTAGTCTTCCCATCCCAGGGAAAGGAGCGGGTAGGAACCCTCCCCCTGCCCCTCTCTGATTCCCCGCTTGCACAGAACTCTCCACAGTCACATGCCTCTCTGCCTCGTCCTAAGCCCCAGTAAGCCGAGAAATATAAACCGAGCACTTGGGAGTGGGGGCTGCATCTTCTCTTTCCTTGCGAAGCTCCCGAGAGACCAGGAAGGCCGCCTGGCGCTGCCCTCTTCTCACCAGGGGTGCGGGCGGGCTCACTGCTACTCAGCGGCTCTGCGTCTTTGCCACTTCAAGTTGTCCACGTTTTCAGTGACTCATCAGTGGGCTTATGCTATTTTGGGGAGGAAGGTTAACATTTTTCTGAGAACCAAATATTCTTTTCTCTGGCTAGTCATCTCCCCTTCTCACTTTAACATTTTAATTTTTCAAGTACTGAACGATACTACAGTGTCAAAATGTGTGAAGTGGAACTCTCTTCAAATACGTAAATAATGCAACTGGCTCCACACCCTTATTTTCTATGTGTGCCGGAAAATCTTGGGTTTGGCTATCATTTACGGATCAGCTGCTGAACTGTGAGCACTATTTGTGGCATGAGATGCTCACCCTTAGAAAAGACTTAATTATATTAATTTATTAAATCTTTTCTCCAATCAAAGCCTACTAAATGCTAATAAAAGATTAAAAAGAAAAGCTATCAAAGAAAATAAGCCTTCAGAATTCCAAGGTGGGTTTCTTGCACAAACACTGTTTCATGAAATCTTCAGGTACAGAGTAAATACTAGACTAATTATACTGGCTCCCAACTTTTATTGTCAATGGAAGCGGTTTGTATTAAACGTAAAGAAGAAAAAGCGTCTTGCGCTGTGGCACAAATTCAAGGGACATAAAATTTACACGCAGATTTATCTTACAATACAGTTCTTCATAAAATTTAAGTTCCTCCCCCCCCATATAAAGAAATAGTAATTTCTTTAAAAATAAATATCACTGCAAAATCTATTTATGGTAAGAGAAACTCCCTTAGATATATCCCAAATTTAGTTAATATGATTAATTTTACCACACTTTTGTCACTAAAAGTTACTTTGAAGTGGTTCTGATTAATTCTTTGGATTTCTATAAATATCCTTGGAGAAAATAAAAGCTGAATTTTATTTTTGACATAAAATATCTGTGAAAAGTCCGCTCATCTGACGAGCTAATAAAGGATTCCCCTGTTCCCATTCCAGGGTGAACGTGTGGGCAAGTTTCACCGTATTTTGTTTTTGATTTCATAAGGTTGCAAGAGTAGTTTGGCTCATCAAGGAGCTGCATTACGAGTAGAGTGAATTGTGCCAAGCCACAGAGGGTTCTAAGTTGAGGGAGTTTACTGAATTTGTGAGAAGGTTTAAGTGGATAAAATTCACCTGGTAGATTTGCTGGTTTGGGGAAAAAATCTCCTACCAGAAAAACCAAGGCTTCCTCGCAAAACAGATTCCAAGGCCACAAACTGCAGCATTTCCCCCACTTGTTGCCATGCAACCAACACGAGACTGATCAACATGCACGAAACCCCACCCCCAGGCTCGTGGTTCCGGCGGATTCCAGTAGTTTCAGGGGCTCCGTAGGGAGGCAAAGGCTTGAGGAGTGTGCCCTGTGACAGCAAGCCCCCGGAGAAAATGAAATTTAACCAAGAAACTTCCATGGAACAGACTGGGACTTGACACGGCTGCCACTCTGGTCGTCCAGCGGGGACCCTGAACACTGAGACAGGGATGGGCCCTTCTGTTCTCTTTTGCCAGTCTTCTCGCTCTCCGTGCCGTCCCACTGTTCTTCTGTTGCTTGTTTTAGTTCCTCCCATCAGGAAAAATGGAGAAAAAGGGGATGAACGACGAGTAAATATCTGATTTGAAGGCTGCTCCACTTTGGAAGGAACAAATGTATAACTGGCTCCAAAGGCCACATGTCACTTCCGCAAGGTGCTCCGCGTTCTTGGCTTATTCTCAGGCGGTCCAGGCTCCAGATTCCAGGACGCTAAGAGCAGTATCAAAGTCAGAGGCATGATTTCCCATGTGACCACCTCCTTACGAACCAAGGCGTGCCAGGTCGCTGCCCTACACATACCAGGATATGTTTTGGTCAGGTATAAAATGGAATCATTTCAAAGTTGAGATATCTACAAGTTGAAAAGTCTTGTGGGGCACAGTCAGGGGTCACCCTGCCAAGCTGACTTATGAGGTCCGGGTTTCCAGAAGCCCCCTCTCCAGACTGATTTTTGTGGTGGTCCATGTAAACAAAACACAGGGGAGAATGGTCTTTCTGGAGCTGCTTTCACCGAACAGCAGGATTTCCTGAAAGTGTGGTGTTGGCTAGATGTAGCACGGGCAGAGGATGGGCCTCTGTATTGAATACCCAGTGGTCTAAAGGTAAAAGGTCATCACTGGAGAAGAGAAGATACAAATATCTGAAAATAAAAGAGAGAGAAATGAGCTCTGATTAGAATTCAACAAGAAGATCGCGTGATCTCGTTACGGCGCAGAAGAAACCGGTAACCTACTTTGAGCAGCTCTGATGAAAAACACATCACGGAACGCAAGCTAGTCACTCACATGATCTAAAACACAGTCACAACCAGTTCTAGAAGAATGCGGCATGTGAGAAAATCCAGCAAGATGCACAATGAGGCTTTGGAAGTAAGACGGTTAGGAAACACCCCTCTGAAGCACATCAGACATCAGTGCTGTGAAACGGAATGAAACAACTGCTCCGTAGTATTTCACAGTCTTTTAAGTGTCACGCATAATAGCAGTCATGTGTCCTGGCCACTTACAGAGCTCACAGGACAACTTGAAATTAATCAATTCACATTTACTAACCGACACTGAGGGCAATGACCAGTACATTAGTAGGACATAGCAAGGGCTTTTTTTTTTTTTTAAGTTTATTTATTTTGAGAAAACGAGAGTGAGCACGAGAATGGAGGGGGTGGGGGGACAGAGAGAAGGAGAGAAAATCCTGAGCAGGCTCCACACTGTCAGTGCAGAGCCCGATGTGGGGCTCGAACTCACAAACTTCAAGATCATGACCTGAGCAAAAATCAAAAGTCAGATGCTTACCTGGCTGAGCCACCCAGGTGCCCCCAGGAAGGACTTTTATATGCTCCTATTGTAGTTTCTGCAGTTCTTCGAGCAGGTACTGCAAAGTGTTAAATAAAAATTTCCGAAACACTACGGATTTATAGGAGGTCTAAGAATCTCGAGTTGCTCTCAATAGGAAAGAACACTGTTCGTAGGAAGGCAAGGATTCCTGACCTCTCCATGGGCGCTGCAAGCGCTGCTTCGGTCACTCCGAAGTCAAAACGACAGAGCTGACACAGACAAGAACTGTGACCCAAACGTTTGGCATTTTCCAATCGGAATTCTATTAAGAGGTGGTCAAAAGTGAGCATAAGAAAACCAACTGTACTGAGTCAGGAAATCTGGGTTCTCACTCTTCGTTTCAGCAAGAACTAGCTGGGGCTAGCAGTAGGCTTCAGTGAAAAGTTCCTTTACAGTGTTTTTGCTGAAATTTCTTTATTTTTAAAGACAGACACATTAATCTCTTTCCTGATTACGGTTCTAGAGGACAGAGTAAAAACATACAGCACAGACAGAAATGGGACTGCATACTAACATTATGACTGGTGCAGCCGGAGAGAGAGCCACAGGCCTCCAACCCCACTCCCTGACCCTACACTTGAGACCTGCCGTGCTCGGATCATTCCCCAGGTCATGGGCAGAGACGCTGGGAATGAAGGAACAGACTTGGCTGGACGTAGCAAGCAGCCTGCCGGGTCTGCTTATTCTGGGGAGACTGGGAGCGCGAGGGAGCTCTGGGCGTCGACCGGTGCAGGAACGCTAGGCTCGTACCATCCCACGTCTCTTGTTAAATGTGGGCCGATGCATCAGGCTTGCTCTAACCTCATCACTTCTTGAGATAGAAAATTCAAGAGTCTCCTGCAAAAGGATTCTTTTCCATGGGAGATGCTACAGAAACACAGCTGATGTAAACACAGATATTATTAAAAACTCCAGAAAACAATGAATGTGCAAGTTTTAGATACTCAAAAGTGATATTATTTTTCAACCATCATTTTTTTCTTATAGTTTATTTATTTTTGAGACAGAGCATGAGTGGGGGAGGGGTAGAGAGAGAGGGAGACACAGAATATGAAGCAGGCTCCAGGCTCTGAGCTGTCAGCACAGAGCCCGACCCAGGGCTCGAACCCACAAACTGTGAGATCATGACCAGAGCAGAAGTTAGACGCTTAACCGACTGAGCCACCCAGGTGCCCCTTCAACCAACATTTTAAAAAGGGATTTGAATTAAAAACTACTGTAGTGGGTTGAACAGTGTCCCCCGCCCCCGCCATTCATGTCCACCTAGAGCCTCAGAATGTGACCTTATTTGGAAACGGGGTCTTTGGGGAAGGTCAAGGATCTTGAGATGAAATCCTCCTGGATTTAGGGCGGGCCTGAAATCCAATGACTTGGATCTCTACAAGAGAAAGGAGAGGGAAATCTGGACCAGCACGCACTGGGGAAGAAGGTCATGTGCAGCCAGATGCAGAGATCACAGGGATGCTGCCACAAGCACAGAAGACCTTCAGAGGGAACTGGTTTCAGACTCTAGGCCTCCCGGATTGAGAGAGAACACAGTTGTGTTACGCCACCAAGTAGGTGGTAAGTTGTTAAGGCAGCATTAGGAACTAATACAACCACCACCCCCAACCTCCAGGGTACCTCTGGCCCCTAAGTGCTGCTGCTTGCTTAGACTGAGTCAGAGTACAACTAGAGAGCAGGGTTTAGACATACAGGGATACACACACACACACACCACACATACCCACACTCGCATATACACACACCACACATACACACAAACACGCCACACACATTCACATAAACACACACCACATACACTCTCTCACAAGTTTATAATAAAATCAATGTTTGAAATTAAAATAATATAGCTAACCAATTCTTTTTAACTTTGGATTACACATTCAGGAGAGAGTTTTTAACCTGAATTTTGAAAACAGAACAACTGGAGAAGAGGGAAATTTGCTGTAAAAGTTGAGAACAGGAAAAGTCTACACTCTAAATTGGCCACCACACTACAATTTGTCCTCTAATGAGAATTTTTCTTCAGCTATGGTTTCAGTAGGTGGCAAGCAGCACTGACCAAAGCTTGGAGGTATATAAAAAGGTGCTATTAAGCACATTTCAGTTTGAATGGATGTGTAGTTTACTTTTTAGAGTTTTTGAAAGTTTATTTTAAGAGAAAGACACAGCACACATTCACATGTGCAAGTTGGGAAGGGGCAGAGAGAGAATTCCAAACAGGTTCCACAAAGCCCGACATAGGGCTCAAACTCACGAAACCAAGAGATCATAACCTGAGCCGAGATCAAGAGCTGGACGCCTAACTGACTGAGCCCTCCAGGCACCCCTGTAGAGCTCACTTTAAATGTTGCTCGCGTCGGTCTCTTGGAGCCCTCTCTTACCTAAAGACCAGGTATTCAGAGGAGGTGGTGGTGCCCGAAGTCACCTCAACCCAAGTGTTGGCAGTAACCAAACGGGCAAGTTTTACAGACAGAAAAGTCAACCAAATCTGAGGAGACAAATTTAAGGTCGACAGAGAAATGGTAAGGCTTAACCAACTGTCAAGTTCATGTGTTCCCACTCAGTCCTTTATGTTTACTGACTTACCAACTGAGCCTTGACGACTCATTTATTCTCCTTCACCACTACCAAAGCCAATATCCAGTATTTTATAGGAAGATGTGACAATTCAAAAAGGCTTGCATTTACATGCACATGTAACTTCTAAAATACACCTTACACTGTTTGAAAAATAATGAACTTAAAACTTCCATTTCGTTTCTACTTCTAATGTTTAAATCATGTCTTTGGAACAGACTGGTGAGAAACCAAATCAAATTGAAGTCTTTCTGATCACTGCAACGGCGTAGGCTTTGCCTTGAGATTATCAGGGAGCTGGGGGAGGAGGCTCTTTTTCCTCTGCTTTTAGGGGCGGAATAAGTTAGGATGAATACATTTGGTTGAATAGGTCAGTTATCCTACAGGATAACATAAACAATGGGGGCTAGCTCCTATAACAAAAAGCCCAGCGGCAGACCGAGACAAAGGTCAGTTAACTCAGCAGTACAACACTATCTGGGTTGTAAAGGTTTTGTAAAGGTTAATAACAAAATATAAAGTTTTTCCTGGTGCCAAAAGACCTTATCCTTCTTTCCCTTTTTCTCAGATCACTGCTTTGAGGAAGCTTTTAATTGTCCCTCTGAAATGTACGTACATCTTTTTAAAAGCTAAATAAACCTCTTCCCAGCTTGACAACTTAGTTTATTCTAAAGGCATGGTCTTTGCGATGTAAAACACCAAGAAAAATGTACCCCAATGTCTCACTGTGGGAAGCTACCTTAGGTGCCTCTTCTCCAAAGCTGTTACTACCCCCGTATCATACAGATAGAAGTGTATCAGTTTTTCTTTGAATAAAAACGATTAATCAACACAGATGGCCACCCCAATTACCACGTGAATTTAGAACAAACTATGTATAGCAAACAGTGCCTTGGAGAGAGTACTCTTACTTAAGGACAAATTACCACTTTTCTTCAGAATATGTATATAATGGATTGTATCCGCCTGGTTATATGGGAAGGTGAGATTTCTTTCTGTCTTTGCAATCTGCCTGTGATGCAAATTGCAATCTGGTTTAACACTTATTAAACGATAAAAATATTTTTTTAAATGGTTTCTTTTTCTGCTATATTTGTGTAGAGGATCTTCTGGGCTGGCAGAAGATTTGGGTGCCAATTTTTTTCCCCAGTAATCAGGATCTCCATAATTTTTTTGACTTTTTCCTCAGATGATACTCCATACCTTCCATCTCCATATAAGTCCAAAGTCAGAAAGTAAAGGGCGACATCTCTTCAGGTGTGGGTCTATTTTGACAGTCGAATACATGTATAGTAGTATCTCACTATAGTTCTAATTTGTACTGATCATGTTATGCATTTTTTCTATGAACATATTTACCACGCTTGTATCTTTTATGAAGTATCTGTTGAATTCTTTTGCCAGGTTTTAAACTGGGTTGCACGTGATCTTATTTTTGAGTTTTTAGAATTTGTCATATAGCCCAGATAGAAGTGTCTTGTGAGTTACATACTTTGCAAGTATCTGCCATATCTTCTCATTCCCTCACTTTCTTTCATTCTTTTCCAAATTTATTTCAAAGAGTAGATATTCTTTAAATTTTAGGGGCGCCTGGGTGGCTCAGTTGGTTGAGAGTCTGACTTTGGCTCATGTCATGATTTCGTGGTTCATGAGTCCAAGCCCCGCATTGGGCTTTGCGCTGACAGCTCGGAGCCTGGAGCCTGCTTCGGATTCTGTGTCTCCC